TAATTAATGGAAGCTGAAATTCATATGGTTCCATGAGATCAGTAATCATCCACAGCTAGTCAAGTCACAACAGCACAATCTGACAAATGATAATCCAATCCACTACAGTGTGGATACCTGTGAGCTCTCCCTACACAAAATTCCACAAGTATTGGACGACCTAGTTTACAGTGACCGGCACACTCAAGAGAGCCAGAAATGTTTGGCAACTTATCAACAACGCGCCACATGTAGAAGTGTAGAACCTAAGCAAACCACGCAGCACATAAATCCAGGAGTAACTGATTGATCAAGTGAAGAATTGGGTTCAATCAGACCCCGGTCACAAAGTGGAAGTCCCTACGGTCCAGTACGAGCAGAGTATGCGGAGAAGTGAGACACGTCTCGACTCTTATAGTCGAAACGCGACGCGACTCCTACGGAGGGAAAGCTGCTGTTACCCACCCCGTCGACGGCGGCGGGGGAAGGCCTCACTCTGGCAGCTCTCCACTACCACCCCTTGATCCACCGCGGGAGAACAACGCAATTCCCACGCCCTAATCGCTAACGAATTAACACTTGAAAACGGGACTACCAGCCCAGATCCGCGTGGCGGTAAATGCCGCTGCGTGCAACAAAAGCACGAGATCGCGATGAGCAATTGGGTGGACTGAAGGCGAGGAGTGGGGTGGGGTTACCTGTCACGAGGGTGCGGCGGCGGCTGTTTGCCCTCGCCGTCGTGGGGCGGGGCGGCGTCGTCTGCCGTGTGTGTCTGGCTGGGCTCCGAACGGGGCACTACTACTGAACTGCAGATGCAAATGGCGGCTATGTGTTTGGTCTGAACGCAAATAGGAGTACTACCTCGTTGGATTCCGGCAGGTTTCAGCAATAATTAAGGCGATCGAGATCCCCTTCCATTTGAGGTGGCTGTCAGTTGGGGGAATTCGAAAAAAATCGGAGAACTCGGGGGGAGTGATTAACGGGGAGCGCGGCAGTTGCGGGTTGGTGGTACTGAGTCCACCCGGAGAGCGACCTACCTGTTCCCAATCGCAAGACACCGGCCACGTGGCAACCGAAGTAGACAGGCTACAGCGCAGGCCCACCTTCCGGTGAGCTTACACTAGCCTCCACGTCCACGGCGGAGGAAATGAGGTGCCCTCTGCCTGCCAGCCGGCCGGCCGCTTGGACGCCGGCGGCGTGTCACGTCACGTCGGTGACAGTGATCTGCTCGGCGGAGAGACAGGTTATTCAGCCCAGTCGAGTAACACTTCCGGCCCGGCCTGTCTAACAGGCCCCATTTTTTTTTTTTTTTTTTTTGCAAACTAACACGGCCGCATTCAACCTGAGTGGGCCGTCTGGCCCAGGCGTGACCGCCAAAACCCTAATCCGCAGGACGGACGGGTAAGAGCTCACCAAGCCTCCATCACGCCGCATCCGACGTTCCAGACGCGACCACGTAGCCCGGAAGACGCTCCTATAAAACCGCCACCACTCGCCCAGCCGCTTCCTCCCCGCCGTCGCCCCGCTCGCCCGAAGCAGCCGCCGGCAAAATGGTACGCGCCCCTCTCTCTTGCTTCCTCTCACCTGTTCTGCCTCCTCGCTGTGTTCGCCAATGGAATTCCCTCTCGCTGTGTTCGCCAATGGAATTCCAAGGGATCTCGCGAAACTTTTAAGCTTTGCTGCCATGGATCTTGAACGACGAGTCTTAGGTTCTACTACTGTTTGATGATCTAGCTAATCGTCTAGTTTTGCAGGCCCCGAAGAGAGGCGTCAAGGCGCCGGTCCCCGCCAAGAAGAAGGCGGTATGCCCCTGATCCGTGCAATCTACCGTGCTTCTTGTTTGTTGGCTTGCTATTTCGTGCTTGGTTTGATTTGTTTGTGCGTTTGGTTGGCACAGGTGGTGACGAACCCGCTGTTCGAGAAGAGGCCGAAGCAGTTCGGGATCGGTGGCGCCCTTCCGCCCAAGAAGGACCTCCACCGCTTCGTCAAGTGGCCCAAGGTCGTGCGCATCCAGCGCCAGCGCCGCATCCTCAAGCAGCGCCTCAAGGTCCCCCCAGCGCTCAACCAGTTCACCCGTACCCTCGACAAGAACCTTGGTACGATCCTCGTTCCGTCCATTGCTATAGCTGGGTAGTACGTAGTAGGATCAAGGCTTGAAGAAGGTTTGCCCACTTTAACTTGTCGAGATGTTAAAAGCATCAACCGTGGAGTAGCACTGCCAAAGTTTTGGTTACTGACTAGGAATTGTTTGGTTAGTTTAAGAATGCAATTTGCTAGGTAATTGGGTAATTTTTTGGGAGTGATGCATCGAGCAATCATTTGGGATATGAGTGTTTGTATCATAAATGAAGATGAAGTGGATAGATAATAGGCTACATGTGTTCTGGATGTTAGGTTTTAACAGTGTTTATTTATCTTGTGTAGCTTTGGAAAGAACATTTCTTAAACTTAAATTATCAAATTTTCTATTTGCCGTATAAGTAAACATGTTTGTTACTAATTTATTTTACCATTGAAGATATTTAAAGTGCTGATCGAGGACATTAAATTCTTGTAGGTTTAGCAAATATTTATAAAATACTGAAATATGTAGTGCAGGCAATTTTGAACTTAGCCATAGTTTACTCCCAATAGGTGAAGTTTATAGTCCATAGATGTCTATAGGGATGGAAACGGATGGAAACGGGCGGAAAAACTCCTCTCCCATTTCCGTTTCTATATTTTTAGCGGAAACGGGATCGGGTTCGGGAAAAAAACGGAATTAAAAACGGATGGGGATATACGGAAATACGGGCGTAGGGTGTACCCAGTGCAGAGAGCTCCCGCTCTGTGCGGGGTCTGGGGAAGGGTGTCAGTGGCAAGCCTTACCCTCGCCTGTGCAATGCGAGGAGACCGCGACTCGAACCCGGGACCTTTCGGTCACAGGCGGTAAGACTCTACCGCTTGCACCAGGCCTGTGCAAATACGGACGGAGAGCTGGAAAAATAAGTTAGAATAACATGATCAAATATTCTTGAGTATACATGAACAAAGTCACAAAATAATATACACGTACGAAATTATCGGTCCAATATTCACTAGTATACCATGAAATTATCGGTTCAATATTCACTAGTATACCATGTGTTAACATGTTAACATGCATAATTTGTGATTAGTAGGTTTATGAACATATCAATTTCTAGACATATCTCACATAGATTGAAAACGGGATGAAAAACGGAATAAATACGGGTCAATTCTGGATAAAAACGGGATCTCGCGGAAACGGACGGAAAAACCCCTTTCCCGTTTACGGAAACGGGATCCCACAAATACGAAAACAGACGGAAGAAAGTAGAAAACGGAACGGGTCGGAACGGGATTTTTTCCGTCCGTTTTCAACCTTAGATGCCTAGGTGAATCTTTGTGACACTATCAACCCACAAATTAACCTTGCGTCAAATTTTGCCACAGTGGAATCTATACTAATACAGGCTAGTGTTGGAAATATATGCTTTTAAAATATGTGATATGGTAGACCTTTGGTTCTTGTCATCTCTTTGCCAGAATTAAAATTTCAAGCTATATGGTACTTTTAATACATTTGTTCTTGTTATAACTTGTCTTCTGCCTGATCTTCCTTTTCAGCAACAAACTTGTTCAAGATGCTTCTTAAGTACCGCCCTGAGGACCAAGCTGCCAAGAAGGAGAGGCTTTTGAAGAGGGCCCAGGCTGAAAACGAGGGGAAAACTGTTGAGGCAAAGAAACCAATTGTTGTGAAGTATGGCCTTAACCATGTGACTTACCTCATTGAGCAGGTGTGTGTGTGCCAATATGGTTGTTTTCTTCTAGTGATTAGTGATAGGTTGATAGCAGAGTGGTTCCTCTGGCAATAAAACTATATACTTTGTTTACTTATTTCTTTTTGCAGAGCAAGGCCCAACTGGTTGTCATAGCCCATGATGTTGATCCGATTGAGCTGGTCGTGTGGCTTCCAGCCCTTTGCAGGAAAATGGAGGTTCCATACTGCATTGTCAAGGGAAAAGCACGCCTTGGATCGGTATTAACCCATCCAACTTTCTTTTGCTTGTTATAAGTGTTGAAGGGCTTGCCAAAAGTGTGTCCTAATAATGAATAACTTCATGTAGATTGTTCACAAGAAGACCGCATCTGTTCTTTGCCTGACCACCGTCAAGAATGAGGACAAGCTTGAGTTCAGCAAGATCCTGGAGGCTATTAAGGTTGGATGTTATGGATTTCTTTTTTCTCAGAATCCAATTTGTGTTCTATTGACTTGTGTACTGACTGGAACTTGACTCACTCCTAGGCCAACTTCAACGACAAGTTTGATGAGGTCAGGAAGAAGTGGGGTGGTGGTATCATGGGCTCCAAATCACAGGCGAAAACCAAGGCCAGGGAAAAGCTGCTTGCCAAGGAAGCTGCCCAGCGGATGACCTAAGTCACGCCCTGTTAAATTTATCTTGTACTCCTTGCGATCGTGTGCAATCGTAGTGGTTGTCAGATCTAGTTTTGAGAGTTTTGCTCCTGAGAGACCAACCATGCTAGAAAGACATGTAAGAATTCCAAGTTTTTGTTACCTAGATCATGTGACTCAAACTTCTATAATGGTTATGAATCTCCTGTTTATGTTTATGCCTGTAACGAGTTTAGAATTACAATAAGTTGTGTCATGTTATCCTGTGTTGCTGCTGGCAATTGGCACTGATTTGCACGATTTGACCTCCATAGTACGCAAGAATGTAGCTGAAGGTTTTCCTCCCAAGCCAGATGAAATGGCTTGATTTCTGCTACCCTGTACTTGTATTGCTAGACTCACTGTAGCACTTGTAATGGTATGTGATTGACTGTGCAAATGTACAATGCAAGAAGCCAAGAACCATGTCCTGCTACTTCACTATCTCCTAACCTACATCAGATTTATATATGTACAATGGCCATGCCCAGGTCTTGTGTAACTAATCAGAGTTATGTACAATGCCCAGATCTTGTGTAACTAATTAGAGTTCTTGGATTACGGTTTATGAGTAGGATCTGATGAGCCTGAGGCCCTGGAACGAGCCCTTGAGCAGGCTGCCCAGGACGGACACCGCGCCGCCCTCGGCCTCGGCCTTGACGGACGCGTCGTTGCGGCTGCGCTTCACCCTCAGCACGGCGTGCCCGAGCTGCTCGCCCACCGCGTCAATGGTCCTGCCGTCGACGGGGTTGCCGTACGTGTCCGACACGTAGAACGTGTCCTCCGCCTTGCCGTCCTTGGTCGTGATTGCCGCCCGGATGATGGAGAGGCTGTTCTCCCGGAACACGCGCGTGATCTCCGACAGCAGGCCCATCCTGTCCTCCGTCCTCACCTCCAGCTCCAGCTCCAGCCCCTGCTCAGTCGTGAACAATGGTGTTACTGGCATGCAAGGCGATGCTGATGGGTCGACGAGGGATGGATGGAGGGAGTTCATACGTTGGACGCGCGCCTCTCGACGGCGGCCTCCAGGCATCGGACGAGGCGGGTCCGCTCGGCGTCGGAGCGCACCGGGTGGCCGTCGACGTGCCGGATGTAGTACTCCTGCAACCACGCCAGGAGCGGTGAGCATTGAGCATGAGCTGCCGGTAAAAAAACCACGACGCTAGCCAGCCAGCATACTTGGTAGGCCTCCTTGCTGGCTCCCTCGGCGTCGACCGTGCCGTGGAACACGACGTACTGCAGGTCGTTGAGCGCGCACAGCGTGTCGAACAGCAGCTTCGGCCGGTCCCTGCACCGTAGGATCACCACCGTGTACTGCCTCTCCGTGCAGTCCATCACCATGACCTTGGCGGCCTTGGGCCTCGCCTTGCCACAGCCACCCCTCTCCTCGCCGCCGCCAACAGCCTTCTCGCCACCGCCGCGGTCCTCCAGCATCAGCTTATGCAAGCGCCTCTCCGCGCGTGCGGCGCCCACAGACACGCCCGTGCTGCCACAGTTGCACGTGCCGTCGCCCTGCATCACGTTGCAGAGAAGCTCCTGCGCCCTGGACAACCGGCCCACGTCGTGGATGGCGAGTCCGGTGGCCTCGTCGGTGATCTGGATCACCGCGGCGGCGCGCCTGTCGTGCGTCCACACCTCGGCCTTCACGATGTTGCAGCTCAGGGCGGCGAGCACGGCGCACACCTCCGAGAGGAGGCCCGGGCGGTCCGCGCCGGTCAGCTCGATGGAGGTGAACTGGTCTTCTGCCGGTGGTGCAAAGCCGCCCATCGGTCCGTTTGCCGGAGGCGCAAGGTAGCCGTCTGATTCCAGGCACTGTTGAAGACCACAAGGGTAAGGCGTCTTGTGGAAACATCAGAGATTAGCAGTAAATGCAGCATGCTTACTTTCTGAATATGGTCAATGACCTCCATGTTCTGAAGCTTACTCCCGTCCTGATCGGTCACATTGAACACTGAACACGACGTGAACCAAGAAAACAAAGAAATTCATCATGACAGGTCAAACAACCAAACATATTACTGCCAGTTGCAAGTCAAATTTCATTTAAAAAACTAAAAGGATATATAACCAGTACCATCCATGAACCAATTTCCGTCCGAAGAAATGTAAGCCTTGGTGATGACGAGGTTGAGATCGACAAGGACTTGAACTGCTTCCAGTAAAATTCCATGCTTCTTGACCCTATCAACCTGGCAAGAAAGAAAAGGTCCACCCTTTATCAATTAATATCTAGTACAAAGGTAGTGCGGTTAGGCGTTAGCTAAATACTCAAATGTAGTTAGCAGTATGGTCCCAAATGAAAGCGAAGTCCAATCTCACCCGGATGACAGTTGCGTTGTCACACGCGTCATTGTCAATGACCACTCTGCAAGAATCAGCACAGTAGGCGATGAGCATTTGGCAACAAGCAACATTCAAGATCATCTAGAACAGACTATTAGTAGCAAAAGTTCTAAGTTTGGAAGTTTAGAGGGGCAGTTTGTATAGTAATTAGTAAAGCATCATGAAGAGGCAGCATGTAGGGAATCAAGGATTCCATATAGGTTTTGACAAAAGGAGAGAGGAATCTGAAAGGACTCCTTGTCTTCTTTAGACAGCATCAAAGAGGTTGTGGTAGGAATAAGGGCAAAGAATAAAGGAGATCACGGCGGCCATGTACAGAACAACATGAACTAGAATTCATTCTTCGAAGTGAAAAATATGGATTGAGGTGTTAGAAAGGATTTGTGGTACTAAGTAATTTAAGAAATACATACATGAACTCGTTGGATCCACAAGTTAGCTAGCAACACACAATATACTCAATCCTAGCTCCTAAGTGACGCAGAAAAATCCAGTGGAATCCTACGACTGATTGTTAATAATAAAGTGGAATCCTTGGAGCGATTGAGAAAACGGATGTAAAATTGATAGGTTCCAATTCCAAACCAAAAAAAATCTAATCTGCTATTATTAAAAATAAATAAATAAATAAATAGCTTTAGATATCGATTGGAACAAACGAAAGAGGAAGATCAACACGCAGAACTGCAGACCAAACCGTAGACGAGGAGAAGAATACCGTCCTCACGAAGTCACAACCATAAAAATACAAACCAAAATTTTTAATTTTAAATAAAGAACAGTAAAGAAATTCAAACGGCATGAGCAATAGTAGACAACTATACATACGAGAGCAGTCGTGTATATCTGTATACGTATACCTCGGCGGGTTCATCCTCCTGACCAGCTTAGCGTACTCGTCGTCGTCCTCCTCCTCCACCATCTCCCCCCACCTCGCCATGGCAGCAAATCCGCGTGCCTCCGTTGGATCCGAGACCGTCTCCACCGCAAGGCTTCCAAGCCGACCCACCCGCTTTATCTGTAGGGGAAGGAGAAGAAGAGCGGCGACGGCGAAGCTGCGAGTCGTAGAGAAGAAGAGACCAGGCGAGAGGAGGAGGAGGGGAGGGGGGCAGTGGGAAGGAAACGCCGGGCCGTTTCCATTAACACCGGCGCGGGGAGGCCGGCGACGGAGGGCGCAGCGCGGACAGGGGGGCGAGGGACACGGGCGGAGTAAAGGCAGCTGCCGCCCAGTTGCCTTTGGTCGTGCTGTGCTACGAAGGCAGACAACTATATAAACGGATGTCGCAGGATCTTTTCGGATGCAGATTCCTCCCGCGAGTAATTTTACTCTTTCTTTGTTTCTTTCTTTTTTTTATTTTCTACTATAAAATCGAGAAATTTGTCATACTTATTACTCCCCATCCGTCCCTAAATAACTACCGCTTTTGGTTTCCGTGCTGTAAATTTAAGTATATTTTTAGAAAATACGTGCAACATTTATATCTTCAAATAAATTTATTAAAAAAATAGATTCAACGATATATCTAATGATATTAATTTTATATTATAAATATTATTATTTATTTATATATATTTAATTAAAATTGTTTCTCGAAAAACGAAAGCAACAGCTATATAGGGACAGAGAATGTATGTAAATAGATCATTAGGCTATCACAATTCACAAGTGTGGCAGGGGTTTTTAAGACGGCGAGAGGCATGCATTGTGAACGTATCTTTCTCTGTGAGCCATGGTCTATGTACGGGCATGGCGGGGTATTTTTGGGTGCAGCGTTCCACATCTCCAAATACTTTTGCTTTTCAAAAAATATATTTTTTAAAAAGGAAAATTTTTCATGAGGATTAATAAGTACTTGTGAATACAAAACCAATAACTTAAATTTATATCATAAAAGTATCTACTAATGTAGTAGTTGTCGGTTAAAGAATTGCACAACAAAACACACCCTACATTTTACTATATTTGGGACACATGGAGTGAATACGGCTAAAACTTAAAAAGGCGTCAAAAGATGGATTCTTAGTTATCGGATAAATTTTAAAATAGTATAGTTGGATAAGTATACCTAATTCTTAGGGGAAAAGGTAAAAGTTAGACTATCTCCAACAATATCACCCAAAATACAAGACACATCTCACGTTTTGGTAGCGCTACAGGCAAAGTGTTCAATACCTATTTTTTGTCTTCTCCAACAATAGGACCCAAAAAGATAATCCTTTCTGCAAATGAGTCTCCAGGAGAGAGGATACTCATATTTGGGTTATGCCTCTGCTGCAACCTAGAATGGGTCTCGCATATAGGTACTTTGTTGGAGGCTGATACAGTACCCTCCAGGACCCATTTTGTGTTTTGGTGCCCATATGAGTCATCCGTTGAAGACAGCCTTAGCACCTCAGTGACCTACTTGAACTTCCTTTTAAAAATTACTTCATTAATTCCAAGTTATAACTCGTTTTGTCATTTTCAAAATATAATTTTTTATATGTATTTTGACATAGTGAGTGTCTAGACACATTAAAAACTTTATATTTAATAAAGGTCCTTACAATTTAATAGGGAGGGAATTTTAGTATAAAGTAGAGAGGAAGACTACTACTTTCGTAAAAGAAAAATACAATTCTAGAGTGACACTGAGTCAAACTATTTTATCTTAATTTATACAAAAACAATTGATGTTAAATTAAATAAGTATCACTAGATTTGTTATTGAATATATTTTTATAATAATAAATAAACTTTGTAATAATATATCTATTTGGTCTTTTGGTGTCTTAAATGTTGATATTTTTTATACGCCCAACGAAATGTAATTAATTTAGCTTGACACTGATAAAATTTAGAATGATACATACTCCATTCACCCTGTAATATAAGGGATTCATCAATATTTAGACAAAGCCAGGTGTCTAACAAAAAGACCATATTGCCCTCACTAATTAAGATGGAGAGAGAGTAGCCAATTATTATTTTTTCCTTAATTAAAAATGTTCGTTTGAATGACGCTAAGTTTAAAAGGAGTTTCAATATTTTCTACCAAGAAGAGACAGAGGAAAGAGGGGATCGAGGACTCGGAATATCTTGTATCTTGGTAGTAGTTTTAACTTCTAGATCTCTTATATTAGGGAGCAGTAAGCTAACCCAAGCATTGGAATTGCAACGCCCGGTACGTTAGGTACCAGGCCATCATGAGCTCCTCAGCTCGTGGAGTCCATGCCCTGTCCCATCGTCTTGTTCAGGACACTCATAAACAGTCCAGGTCGTCCGTCGCGTGCCACCGTGGCCCCGCTCCGTCCTAGGGCCGTTTCCGACAAGCCGCTCCGCAGGCCGCGGCGGCCGGCGCGGACCTCGTCGCATGCCACGTCACGATCAACGCCAGCCTTTCCGTGATGGCAGTTGGCACCGCACAGCGACCAGTAGGTGACCTGTTGCCTGTCCTGTGACGTGGCGGGCCGCCGGACGTGGGGGGGCACCCGTGCCGCCGTGCGTTGGATGGATAAGGGGAGGGCGGGGACAGGTCACAGATCGGCGCGAGGAGAGCCACGTCACGCGGCGGTTCATTATCCGTAAATGGCGCGAGGGTACGGGGTTGGGCCACGTCACGCACTGTGGGGTCAACTGTTGTACTAGTAGTTTATCCGTTTCAGTTGGTGACGGAAAGGAACTTTCAGTTACTTTCTTCTTCCTCACATTCGGAAAATCGGGACAGTGCCGATTTCTGAACTGAATCCACCACGCCCGTCCGTGCGTGCCTTGGATTCATTGGACCGACGTACGGTCCGGTTCATACCAGCTACAGGTACGGATGGATTGAGAATTTGAGATGACTCGTCGGGAGAATTTCCAGCGCAATTCAGACTTGTGCATTTCAAACAGGGCTAAGGGCTTGCTCCATGAGATGAATGTCCATCACCCATTTGGATTTTGGATCGAGAAGAAATCGCAGCAGTGCTCACAGACAGCGTGCTCTTGGCCGCTCGAGAGAGCAAGAGAGAGAGGAGAGAAACAGAAAAGCGAAGCGAAAGTGCAAGCCCGTGCCTTTCCATCTGAGAATCTGGCTGGTTGCTGCTTTGTTTTCAAGACAAGAGGGTAGAGAGTCCGGACGGAATTGGCGAACGAGATGCTGATATGTATCGTCCAGCTGCATGCTCGCGAATCCGGGAGAATTTCTCGACGGCGACGGCGGGGCAAAGCCAACTTTCATTGTGCCCGGACAGCGAGTTGCATCCATTCTCAAGCATCGCAGTGACCTGCAGCAGCAGCTGGCGCATCATCCGTGCGTGCCGCCGCTCGACGTGCTGGCAGCTGGCTCTGGCTGGGAGAATATCGTCACATGCAGCGCAGTGGTAGAATCCTCTAAGTCCGAACTGAACGCAATGCGAAGTGGTAGAGACTCTTGACGACGGCGACTCGATGCGAAGCGTGTGGAGAAACAGGCAGAACGCACTTGGCTCCTAGTTGGCTCTCGGTTTGCATTGGTTGCTGGCTTGCTGCTACAAATCTACGGGACTACGGAGTAGTAGGATAGAACACGTGCACCATGCCATCCTCCACTGCGAGCGGCTTCAGTGCTCCGATTCCATAATAACCATCGTCAGCCTATTCGTTTGTCGGTTTCAGTCAGGACTTATCAACCAGTCAACAATATTTTTCTCTCACAATAAACCAACATCAGCCGGGCTTATGAGCCCAGAAACCATGTTACACGCAGCTGTTAGTTTGTGTTCGTTTTCTTTTCTTTTTTTTTCTTCCCCATTTCATTTCCAAGGCATCGATCGATGGATGGGCAAGTGCGCGACGACGACGACGACGACTACGCGAGCTCGTTCCATCTCCCTTGCTTATACACCTGCCACTTGGCTTTTGCAAGCTTTTGCTTCTGGATGGTGGCAGTAACCTTAGACTAGCGCGCGCGAATAACAGAACCGATCCTCCTTACAGGCAGAGTTTTCGCCAACGGCAAGGCGCGATTCCGCCAGCTCGACGGGTGATCGATTCCGATTCCTGAGCAAGCAAATGCACGCCGAACCACATTCACTCACCACGCGAAGGCGAAGGCGAACCCGAATTTTCGAACCACCTCCTGTTATCCTGGCCGGGAATTGGAATCTTCCATATCTGCTAGTAGTAGCAGGTAAAAAAGATAGCCTTTTTTCAGTGCATGCAGGTCAAGTGCTCGAGTGGCACGGGCACTAGACGACCGGCGATATTTATTTTGCATCGGCCCGCCGGCGCCCAAAGTCCACAGATCAGATCAGATCAGATCTATTCTGTTGCACTGTTGTTCTCTGCATCTGTACTGCAACCGGGAATTCGCAATGGACGGATCGGAATCGCGTGCCATCTGCCGTGCCAGGGTGTCGATTCCGTTTTGTCGCGCGCGGAGCGTCAAATAGGCCCTCGTTTAGTTTGGCGCGGAAGCGGCGCCGTCAGAGTTACTGTAGCCACAGTAGCTACTGTAGCGTTTCGTTTGTATTTGGTAATAATTGTCCAAACGTTTTTAAACGTCAAAACGCTCGTCTCCGTAAAAACAACCAAACTGTGCGCGTCAACATTTAAGAGTCTGCCGTGATGCGATATCTTCTTTTTGCGAAAGGCCAAATTCTGGAAAATGGGGGAACTAAACAGGCCCTAGACAAGTTATTAGTCTGCCTGAATATCTGACAGCACGTCAGCTACCACCCGGCCGGGTCGTCATCGTCATCGTCACGAGCTGAGGTCACAGAATCTCTGTCGTGGCAGCATGGCAACGGTCGAGCGTTCCTTGTAGAGCTAGTAGTAGAGAGATCGAGGCCTCAATGCCTCATGCGTGCCAAAATGCCTAGCAAGTCTGGCCCGTGTCCAAGTGTGGTGTGGTCGTGAAGGGCAAAAAAATAATAATAATAATAATAAAGAGTGAAGTACACGGGTGGTCCTTTAACTTGTCGGCCTGTGCCAATCTAGTCCATGAATTTGCAGACGTGGAAAATGGGCCCCTGAACTTGTCAATTTGTTCACCGTAGGCCCATTTCCCATCTGGCCCGGCCTCCAGGCGACGTGGCAGCACGTGCGCCGCACGTTTCAATACCGAACGCAGGTGACAATATGCATCTAGACCCCTCCGCATTTGCCCATCTCCAAAAACCTGTCTTCTTCAAGTTCATCGTGCTGGGGGTGAGGCGGCGGTGGGGGCGCGGCGGCTTGCGACGGAGGCACCATGGCTAACGAATCAAGGGCGTCTACGACAGATCCAGTGCAGGCAGTGCGGGCGGGCAAGGGTGGTGCTCCGGGTATCGAAGCAGGAATGGAGCTTTGGACATGCGTTCTACTGCTGCCCGTTCTACAAGGTTAGTGGTTCAATTAAGATGAAGTTCTTGTTCTTGCTAGATTCAAAGCTGATATTAGGGATTTTTGTAGCGAGATAGAACCGGTTGCCCTTTCTGGAAGTGGGAGAAGGAGTACTTAGAGGTGGTGTTCGGCAAGAACACTGCTGGTGCTCAAGCAAGTCCCAGCAATGCAGGCACAACCATGGTGGAATCCCCTGATTTGAAGATGAACACTGATGGAGGAGTACGCAACAATGGTTGGGTGAAGAGGGAAGTTGTATCTGCTGAAATGGTGAAAGAAGTAGTCATGGTGTTGAAGGCTATATTTGTAGTATGTGTTGCTCTACTGTTTGTGCTCATTCTTGTTCTGTTAGTCCTGTTGGTGAAGTAGGTAAATGTGTAATCAATACTGTTGCTTTTGTGTTGCTGAAGGCTGTCACAAGGATTCATGTTGGTTTTGTGTATTCAGTAATGTTGGATTCTGCAATCATGTTGGTTTTGAGCAATATTATGTTATCAATGCATATGTTCAGTAATGTTATCAAGCCATGTATGAAACCATCAATGAATAACAACAAGATGATGTTCACAGATCTTGCAATGTCAATTCCTCAAAATGGAACCATAACAGGATGATGTATTGTCACAGATTTTGTGTCCACCAACCATTTACCAAGGACATTGAGATACACATGTCATTGTCCTAGATGTAAGGCACTAAGTACTATCTTCTTGTGTTTATATGGAAGAACCAAAAGATGTATCTATCTTCCTTGTCTGGCTGGAAGAATCAAAAGGAAGCAAAATAAGCCTAAAGCATCAACTAAAATGTTTTTGCTGCTTCTTTACACGTTTACAGAAACTATCACAGTGAGCCTATTGACCTATACAAAAGCATCACATACCACATGCACAGGTCTTCAAGCCTTCTTGTCTTGGTAGTTGTATTCTTCTTGGTCTTGCCTTGCTGATTACATGGGCCACATGGCGCATTGCGCTTCAATCTTCCTCTTCCAGCCTTGCTTGCAGTGGTAGGGGGCACTGGCCTTGTAGTAGGCTGGTTCCTCCTGATGAATGTAGAATCTGGCAATGGTTCCTTGTGAAGTTGTCTTTTGCTTGTTTGTGAGGACTGCATGAAATCAAGTTAGGTGTTTACAAGTTCAATTTGATAGAGTGGACGAAGTTTATGTGCACTTACATCTACATGCAATTGAGAAAGGACAGTTTCTGTCATATTTGATAGCACTGGCTGGCTCCTCTCTCCAAACTGCATGGAAGCCTACAATGCCATGCTTCAGAGTGTATGAACTATTAATCCAATTGACATGCTAAATGAGTTTCACTTACTTAGCTAGTAACTGGTTCTTCAAAACCTTCAGCTAATTCTCCTTCTTGGCCATGATCCACATTTGGTTTGTTTTGAGGTTGTAGTTTAGGCCTGATCCCAGTCTTCCTCAGCTTGCAACCACCTCTGTTATGCCCTTCTGTTCCACAATAAGAGCAAGTAATGACAGTACCATGCTTGGACATTTTAGGACCAAACTTGCCCATGACTTCATGAGGTTGCTTCCTTCTGTTCTTGGGTGGCCTGCCAACTTTTTTCTCATAGACTGGTGGAAGTACATTTGGTCCTTGAACTTTCTGCCACATGCTTGTCCTTTGTATGATACCTTGTCATCAGTGTGTCTTGACTTGCTCTAACATGCTCAAGATAGGCATTTCTCTAGCATCTAGTATGTATTTATTAAACACCTCATAACTATTGTTTAGTAGAATATCACACTTGGAGAAAAGTGCTAAAGAAAGCCCTAACCCAATTATTTGGTGGCATCTTTTCTAGCCATTCAAAAGCTTTCTAGTTAAGGACCTTAATCTTCTCCATGTTCTCATTCCATCTAACTACTGTGGTTGACCTAGCACAAGTCCATAGTTGGTTCTTTAAGTTCTCACCTTTGAATTGCATCTAGAAATTGTAATATAGGTGTCTGACACAGAACCTGTGTTCAGATTCTAGGAAAACCTGTGCAACAGCTGGTACTAGACCCTGCAAATGGACAAGAACAGATTAGCATGAATATTACAGCTGCAAGTTAAGAAGATGTGCAAAAGCTGGTACCTTCTGTTTGTCAGTCATGACAGTCCATGGGTATGTGTTTTCAATGCCTAGGTCTTGTTTCAATGTTTCTAAGAACCACTTTCAAGTAGCCAGAGACTCAACTTCTACAACTCCAAATGTAATTAGATAAATGCAGTCATTTGGATCAATTCCAATTGCAGTGAGTATTATCCCTCCATGCTTAGTCTTAAGGTGGCAACCATCTAGGCAGATTATAGGTCTACAACCAGCTAGGAAGCCCCTCTTGTTTGCATCCAAAGAAACATACAAGGATGAGAATATGTTTCCAGCAAGATTAAGATAGAAAGTGCTCCCTGGATTGCTTCTTCTCAATTCATGTGCATAATCCCACAACTTATTGTACTGCTCTTCTTCATCACCAAGTATCACATTCATAGCAAGTCTCCTGACCCTAGCAAGTGTAGTTCTTGGGGGTGTCAGATTCCAGTCCTTATGGACTGTCCTTGCAAAGTTAGTTAGTGTCATCTTCTGGTCAGCCCAAAATGACTCTAAGTATGTATGAGCAAGCCACCTTGAGGTACATCTCTTCAATGTCCACTTCCTTTGGCAACTGTGCTGCCCATGATAAGTCTTGATCATCAACCCCTGAGTCCTGCTATCACTTGAAGCATATAAATTCCAAAGACACCCATCTGCATAATGAGCCTTCAACCTTTTCTTCTCATTCCTGGGCATCTTGATCTCTACCCTCTGCTTCATGCTATATTGTGTGATAGCCTTCCTGAGCATCTCAACTGATTCAAATATCATGCCAACTTTGAAGATGGGATTGTCTATGTCTTTACTTCTGAATGACTTAAACCTTAAACCCTATCCTTCTTCATCAGATTCTAGCAATTCTAGCTCAGATTCATCTGTTGACTCCTCTCCATAACCAGTCAAAGATGAAACCTTTTTCCCCTTCAGTTTGCTACCAACAGCCTTCTTGCCCTTACCTTTCTGCTGCCCTTTGCTGCCAGTCTCCTCTGTGGCATCCTCATCAACATAGTCCACAAAAATATCATCATCTCCCTCTAAATCATAACCACTATCACTGAAATCAAAGTCATCTTCAATGTCACCATCATCTCCATGCACATCATGCTGCACTGAATCTTGCTGCACTGAATCCATTTCAAAGTCATCTTCACTGTCACCATCATCTCCATGCACATCATGCTGCACTGAACTTGTTGCACTGAATCCTGCTCCATTTCAAATGGTGGTAGTTCTTTTCCTTCTTCCTTCCCAACAAATCCTCCCTTGGCTGGGCTGATTACTTCGGGTAGTGAAGCAATTGGGTTTGCCACTATGTCATCCTAGTTTATGGCAGTCATGCTGTTATCATGATCAAAATAGACAATAAGGTTCTTCACCCTGTTAACAATGCCAGTCATCACCAATGTCTCTGAATCTGACTCAATCACCCTAAGGCCACGACCAAGATCCATTCTAGGAAGCAACCAGTATATCTTCAAAGCATCTATTTTAAGATATTTTAACTCATCAACAAAATCCAAGAACCACAATGGAGACCAGGTATCTACCTTGCAATGGTCAAATCAGTTCACTTTTCCATCAATGTAAGCCTTATTCGAATCCTGACCAACAAAGAAACCACAGTGGTGCACCTTAACAGTGAACTTGTTCTCAGCATCGCCTACATTGAACCAAATGATGCTCATTACTACTTGATTTATTTAGGCGACACCAGAAACCCTAAACCTTAGCCACCAAACCAAACGAAATTGGCCTACACTAGGAACAAGTACATGCACACCACCACATTCTAAAGGCACTAATAAGAAGGTTTTGAGCTTCGATTGACTAACCGTAGTCCAGCGGTGGTTCCCCTTCCAGTCGCACGCACGGCGCCATGCCGTAGATTCACCGTAATCGCGGCGGAAACCTGTGCTCCCCAGGTACGTCTCGTCGTTGCTCTTCCACAGAATCTTGCAAAGTCGCCGACTTTTGCCTCCGTCGCAAGCCGCCGCGCCCTCGCCGCCGCCTCGCCCCCAGCACGATGAACTTGAAGAAGACATGATTTTGGAGACGGGCAAATGTGGAGAGGCCTAGATGCATATTGTCACCTGCGTTCGGTATTGAAACGTGCGGCACACGTGCTGCCACGTCGCCTGGAGGCCGCGCCGGATGGGAAATGGGCCTGCGGTGAACAAATTGACAAGTTTAGGGGGCTATTTTCCGCGTTTGCAAGTTCGTGGACCGGACTGGCATAGGCCGATAAGTTAAAGGGCCGCCAATGTATTTCACTCAAATATATATATATATCCTACAACTAAAAAGAACAAAGTGTGGACATTTTTTGGTGCGACATTTGTTTTGGTTCGTCCGTCTGTCCACGCCTGCGATCCCGACATCTTAATTACTGATTGATCGTGCCATTCTCCTTGATTGAATATTGTCTGTCGTGTGATAGAGGAATCACGGCAAAATAGGAAGTAGAAAATTATTGTGCTATCCATATACACATTGCATATTTGCATGCACCAGCATATATGGCAACGAGCAAAAGGAAAGAGAATTAACACAGAAGGAAAGAGAATTAAGACAAAAGAAACCTCTTTGCATTTCTGAGAACCTTACCAAATCTGCCTATATTTAATTACTTTCCCTCTTTGCATTTGCAAAAGGGACAGCTTTTTCCTCTTTTCATTTGGTTTCACGCTCACGTGTTCCATCACCCTCGCTTGCTGTTTCTTGCGTGAACCATAGTTGATGTCATCTGTCTTCCATGGCTCAGCCTCCCAATCTCAAGAGAAGGTTCCTACCTCTCCCTGACTGGAGATCCGGCCTGCCAGAGGATCTCCTCGAGTCCATCGGGTAGCGTCTCGCGTCAGGCCACGACGCGGCATCCTTCTGATCCGCTTGCTCCCCATGGCACGCCGCCGTCCCGTTTGCGACCTTCGGGCCACTCCTGCTGCTCCCGTTCGACCCCGACTCGGACCGCGTCGGCTTCTACTGCGTCCCGGAGAAGAAAGTCTTGTCCAAGACGCTGCCCGATGTGAGTGGCAAGGTGGCGTGCGGCTCCTCGTATGGGTGGCTGGCGCTCATGGAAGAGGCAGCGTCCGTGACGCTGCTGAATCCATTCGCCGGTGCCCGTGCCCCCCGCGTTGAGCTCCCGCCAGCAGGCGAACACGTCGCGGCGGCGTCCTCATTGGAACACGTGTCTAGGGTCCACGACCGGTGGGTCCTCCATCCCACCAACGACTACGGGGACGCGGATGCCGCAGGCAAAGCCATCAAGCTAGAAGACA